TACATAAAATTTCCTCAGGGAGGCCTTCACTGAGCCCCTAAGCTAAATTGGGTGTCCCTGTATGCCCTCCAACAGCACCCCAACTTCCCTTCCAGAGCACTCACCACAGCCAGTGTGATTTTTCTAATGTCTGTCTTTGCTGCTAGGATGGATGCACCCTGAGGGCAGAGGCTGTGCTTCTCTGCTGTATCCACAGTGTCTAACCCAGTGCTGGCAGAGCTCACTCCATGTCAAATGCATGAAGGAGGCCCAGAAAGCAGGGACTTAAATTATCATCATACTATTCAGAAAAGACCACGTGGTGGCTCCTTACGAAGGGATAGGGACAGCTTTTTAAGATACTACACAATACTTATAGCTTTCTATCATTCATGTGGGAACGAGAAGAAGACAAAATTATTATGTGTCTACTTGAATGCACACAGAATATCTCTGGAAGGTTATACAAGCAACTGAGCACAAGGGTAAGAGGAGACTTACTTTCCACTGTATATAACATTTTGAATTTTGTAACGTAAACATTATTTTAAAAAATAAGTAGCTTTTAAATAAATGTGTGTGTGTTAACAGTTTACATCTTCTAGTAATAAAATTCTCCTAGAATGACATGTGATGAGATCCTGGCACAGTAACTTGTGTAGAAGGCAACATCATATACAGTGTTTCAAAGTGGCCCATCCTAACTTCCTGTTTGGAAGGAACCAGAGCCACATTTTCTTCACATGGGAGCCCAGGCACATGTGAATAGGTGTATAGAGACCCTCATTTCAGAAGCTTTGTATTTTCCAAGCGAGATGACCACAATATCCTTTCTCAGCTCTGCTGTCTTGCGCATGGCACACCTCTTGTGCCATCAGTTGGATGCAACTGTAAAGCTTATTCATTCTCCAAGCCCTCATTTCTCCACCTTTTCCCCTCTCTTCCCCACCACATGTAAGCCGATCCATCTCTCCTTTCCTTCTACCCCAAATACTGGGCAAGGGAAGAGAGATGATAATGAAACACCAGAGTGAACAAACGTTGCTGCTTGTTAGCTAAAGGGGAGGGAGGGAGGCTCAAAGGAGAACAAAGTTGAAGTTAATGGCAAAAATGAGGCTTATCGGTGTAATCTGTGGACTTTGTGTCTTCACATCTCCTATCCACATAGATAACAGAGTTCTCTGTATAATGATAAAGGAAAGCCATCTGCAGTTTCCCATAAATCTCCATGGCCTGTTGTTGGCTCCCCTGGCTTGGATTCTAAAAGCATTTCATTTTTAGAAGGTAAAGTTGCCATCTTTTCCTCCAATTTGCTTCCAGTTTGCTCCAGCCATAAGTATAAGACTCCTAAACCTGAGCGGAACAAGCCCACGTTGCTTGCTTCAGTCCAATTCCACCAGCATCTCAGAACAGCAAACTCTATGGTCACAGCAAGATCTTACTGGCCCCAGCAGTTTTCAAACTGGAAGCATTCCACAAAATTTACCTACATCCAATCAGAACACGTGGGAAAATTAAAACATGGACAAGTACCCAAAGTGGCCTTCCAACAGACCCAAACAAGAATCTATTGACTTTCTTTTCTCAGTGATAAAATAAACCTTCTTGATCATGTTCTAAAATTATTTTTTAGACCTCCCAGTCCCCAGAAAGAACCCTGTAGTGTAACTCTTCTTGGCCACGGACCATAAACTGCCTAAGTATTTTTCTCTAGATCTTGATAAAACTTATCGATGGCCATTTATTAACTGCACTCCATTAAAAACATTGATAACCATAAAAATCGTGTTTTTAAAAAAAAATCAGTTTCATAAAATTATGATAAAATGGTTTACTCTAAAAATGAAGTTTCTGATACAATACAAGGTTACTTTCAAAGAGTTCATAGAAAAATAGAATTGGAAGATAATACGAATCTTTCCATGAATCTTTTGAAGTACCTTTATGTATCTTTTCCTTATATCACAGATTAGTTAGAAATCCTGGTTAATTAGAATGATAAAATTTTCTAGATCTAGCTTCATTAATAAATGCTGGTGATAATCATAATAACACTAAAAAAAGCAAACATTCATTAAGCACTTACTATGTGCAAAATCCTTTTATATTATCTTGCTTAATGCTCACAACAATGCTGTTATTTCTGTTTTATAGTTAAGGAAACTTATGAGCTTAGTCTATATAAAAAAATCATATCATACCAATGTTCACAGCAGCATTATTCACAAGAGCCAAAGAGCGGAAATAACCCAATTGTTCATCAACAGATGAATGGATAAACAAAATGTTTTTATACACACACACACACACACACAATGGAATATTATTCAGTCTTAAAAAGGAATGAAGTAGTGATACACGCTACAACATGGATGAACCATGAAAACATTATGCTAAGCAAAATATGCCAGAAACAAAAGGAGAAATATTGTATGATCCCACTCATATAAGGTATCTAGAATAGGCAACTTCATAGAGACAGAAAGTAGAATAGTGGTTACCAGGGCTGAGGAGAGAGAGGAGTGGGGAGCGATTGTATAATGGGTACAGAGTTTCTGGTTCGTATGATAAAAAAGTTGGGAAATAGGGTTGATAGTTGTACAACACTGTGAATGTCCTTAATACCACTAAATTGTACTCAAAAATGGATAAAATTGTAAACTTTATGGTATGTATATTTTATCACAAAAAATTATTATATGAAAATCTGAATCATATCCCTTCAGTTTTCAATTGGAATTCCTAAACTTTATTTTATTAAAATGAAAGCTCAAATTTTCTGAATGCCATGGAAGCTCAAATTTCTTCTCAAGACCTGCTTATTGCTAACAGCATTACAGTCAATCTATGTATGTTAATACACATAGATATACATAGTCACACACATACATGTATCTACCCCAAGACCTCCCACATATTAACTCCAACAAGGAGGACCATGGTAAGACTAATGCAACCAGTGTTTCTGGAGATCTGGGCAACCAAACACCCTGACAGAGTCTCAGCTCAACTCTTAAATCCCTCAACGTGGGAGAACAAGTATTTAGTATATGTATATTTTATCTATAAAGAAAACAGTGTGCATGTACCATAAAGACCATCAGGAATTGCTCACCCAGATCTGCTCCACCAGGCCCATGAACAAAGAGATTTCAGACCATACATGGCTATTTTGGTGAAGTCGGCAATTGTATGTTACACCGAACAGTGGGTGTCCTTAATGCAAATGCATATAATAAGGAGCTAAATCTTTGTACCTTTACAGGACAAAGGACGTAATAAGCAGGATGTACTACTTATGACTTCTGAGGAAAGGAGAGCTTTTCATTTTTCCTTAAAAGAATTCATTTCTCATGAGGCAATCTGAGAAAAAGAGTCTTTTGAAATAAAATCCAAGGTTGGTGGGGCAATATGAGTTTTGTGTGTTATAGTTATAATCCATTACCCAGACCTGAGAGATGCCAATCCTGTGCCATCCCATGATATTTTCTAACTTTAAATTACAGGTTTTTACAACCTCATAATCTTTCATGGAAACGTTGCTGGTGGTCTGATAACTGAGTCCTATAAGCTTTTAAAGATCTCAGTAGTTTGTCTCTGAAGAAAAGCAATCTCTGGTGATACTTTCTAATGCCAACACACGTGGACATTTAGCACAAATAAGCTGCCACTTGTCAGAAGTCCACTTTACACCATTCCCTCGTGCATCCTGAGGACATATGTCAAGATCACACTAAGACATTTAGAGGCAAACATCTTTAGAATAACGTTTTGTTTCCAAAGTGCTTAATTAGCAGAAATACTATGCTAGAGAACTGTCCTTGAATATGCATTCATTTTAACCTCCATGTTATTTTTTCTGAAGCACAAATTTTCCTCTCATTGGATGGTCAGGAAACGATTGGGCACAGAAAACCGACTTTTGAGGTGTTGATCCACAAAATGAGTTCCATCTTTCCAAACGGGTTTCAGCTGCCTTCCAGGGTGACATTCTCTTTTATGAGGGGGACCATTCTTTGGAGTCTAATGGCCTTTTCTCCATTCATTTTGGATGAGCAATGCTCCTACGGTCCAGTTACGTATGAACTCTTTCAACACCTGCCACCAACCTTTTCTACCTCCTTGTACCTTCCTCCCACCTCCAATTTCAGCCAATACATTTACATGACATCAGTTAGTGAATCACAATCTAAATGAACCCAACCATTTGTGCAGCAGAAAGTGGCCTCTGAAGTTATTCCATCTGAAGCCCATAGGCCAGAGTTACATATGGCAGGCTTGCAAACGTGAACAGGATGAACAGGATATGAGTTATTTATGATGACCATGAGTGTTGGATGCTCAGTTCCATCAGGTTATGGCTTCACTCACATGTCTTGATCTGGGATGAACTATCTAGTAACTGTGTCCCATTTCAGGTACCGTATTTCCATGCTGGGAAAACAGAGAAGAGCAACTGGCTGGGGTGCGGGGGTGGGCAGCTGCACATACAGATGCCCCTAACCCTGCTTGCCACACAACAATCTGGGACCAAACGCGAAGTGGGCCAAATGTAACTCGCTGCAAAGGTTTGCCATGTACAATGGATTTCATCGGAGAGTTGAGAAGTCACTGCTGGAATAACTGACCATGTGGGGTTCATCAAACTATTGTGCATTTACCCACAAGGAAGGCTGGGACGCTTGTGAAGGGAGCCCCATTCCTCAGTTAGAAATTTTGACCCCCCACCTTTTGACAATGATGCTCCAAAGGAGAATGGCAGATAAGCATGAGGAGGTTCAAACGTGGACTCCAACTAAAGTGCAGTAAACTTCTGCCTTCAACCATCTCCCCCCCCCCTCACCCCCAGTTGTATTTATACTTTGAAAGAAGTTAACATGAAGCAGTAGTCACCTGGGCGTGCTCAATTTTTGACAAGCCTTAGTCACTCTGTACCCAGCAGAACAATTCACATTATATTCGAAATCCTGTGAAGATTCTGCCACACATGCTAACACTAAAATGCCAGTAGCTCCACTTACCTTCTTTATTAAGCCTCATAACCTCCCTGCTTTTTCCACCCTCTTTTCCAGCCTCTTCTAAATCTACATCTGCAGATGAAAAAGAAAAGGGAAAAAGAAAATAAGGAAAAAAAGAGAAAAAAAGGGGGGAAAAACCAAAGTCAAGGGGGGAGGGAGAGTGTTTTTTTGCAAACAGATCAATATAAATACTGTATATGAAAATCTTCCAAAAATTGACAATGCAACATTTTCTCCCAAGTCCGGGTTTCCATCTACCTGGCCCAGATAGGTACCAAAAAAAACTATGCAAGCAGCAACAGAGTAGCCTTTTAAACAGATAACACCGTGGGGCTGCGAAAGCCCACCCCGCGGGCTGCCACGGGGAGCCGGGCACAGACAGACAGACAGACAGCCCTGGCAGCCGGGCCTCTCTGTGTGCATTGATGATCTGTCTCTGTGTGTATTTATTTAGAGAGAGAGGGAGAAGCATGGAGGACACCGGGGGCCACTCTCTCTCACACACACACACTTTTTCCCAGTGGCTCTAGGTGAATGGAAAGGTTACAGGATAATAAAAGGAGGAGGAGGAGGCGGTGGGGTTCTTACTGTCGGAGCAGTGTAATTTGGCGGCGTCGATCCAGGAGGACCAGGGTTTGCCCAGAAACGCCTCCGGACTGGGCACTTTGCGATCCAGTGTCGCCATTGCTCTTCCTTCTTGTTGCTTTTTCCCTGTTCCTTCGGCAGCAGCAGCCGAGAGACACGGGATTCGAGAACGCTCCGACGTCATCTTCGGAACGTTCCGACATTGAGTGTTCTGAAAGGGGGAGGGAGGGAGGGAGGGATGGGAGGAGGGAGGCGCAGGAGGAGGGGAGAGAGGAGGCGGGGCCGGCGCTCGGGCGCCCGCAGCCGGCTGGGCTCGGCGGGGCTGGCGCGCGGCGGCC